GAAAGGTGAAAATGCAAAGCATACTTTGTCCTAGGTATTTCCTAAAATACTTTTAACAAATCTTGAATATTCTAATTCAAAAATAAATGGGTAGGTAGGAAAGCATAGACTTGCCACGATTCTGTGGCCAGAATGAAATCATACACTATGGCTGTCGATATTTCTGAGCCACACTGTCTTTGTTTTGTCCTCACAGAACCCTTCCTCAGGAAGAATGCTTTCTCTGACAACAGCTCAGAGTGGAAGAGGCAAGGTTATTAAACAGCTCTCATAAAATAAGCCCATGGGAAGATGCTCCGGCATCATTAGCCATCAGGGAAATGTCAGTCAAAACCACAATGAGATACCAGTTTGCTCTCAGTAGGATGACTGTATTTGGAAAGACAGACAATAAGAAGTATTGACAAGGACATAGAGAAGTTGAAACTGCCATACATTGCAGGTGGGAATGTAAAATGATGCATCTGCTTTGAAAACAGTCTGGCAGTTTCTGAAATACTTAAACATAGAGTTACCACAGGATCCAACAATTCTACTCTGAAATGTATACCCAACCGAAATGAAGACACATGTGAACACAAAAACTGGTACATGAATGTTCATGGAGCATTATTCATACCAGCTAGGAAGTGGAAACGACCTAGATGTCCATCAATTAACTGATAAATGAATTAATAATATGTGGTATATCCATACGGTAGAATATTATTCAGCCATAAAAAGGAATGAAGTACCGGCATATGCCACGACATAGGTGAACCTCGTAAATATTATGCTAAGTGAAAGAAGCCAGGTAAGAAGTCACATATTGAATGATTCCATTTTTATGAAATACCTTGGATGGGCTAATCCATAGAGACAGAAAGTAGACTAGCAGTTGCCTAGGGCTGGGAAGATAAGGGAGTTAGAGAGTGACAACTAAGAAGTTCAGGGTTTCTTTTTGGGGTAATGAGAAGGTTATAAAATTGATTGTGATAATGATCGTACAACTCTGTGAATATACTAAGAGCTAATGAATTGTACACTTTGGTTGAATTGTATGGTAGGTGAATTATATCTTTATAATAAAGCTTTTCAAAATATGTCATCATTCCATCATGCTATTTAATATTTCTGAACAACCTAACTTGGACCAAAGTACCCCAGTTGTTACCACCAGACTTCACACCTTAAGAGAAATAGTGTAAAAGTAAGACAGAAAAATACAACAAACTCTTCTTTGGCTGTTGGTGTCTTGATGAAAGGAGGCTTCACTGACATCCGTTTACACCCTTGTGTGGCATCCTGAGGCAGTGCATCCTAGGAAGATGTGGAATGGGTAAAAGTTGCTGTGTGTGTGTGTGTGTGTGTGTGTGTGTGTGTGTAAGGTGTTCGGAGAACAATTTTGAAAGGGAAGGTGGGAAAAGAGAACTAGAAGGAAATCCCCACAGGTATATTCTCAAGTAGACTGATTTTAGGAAAAAAGTTGAAGATCTGGAAGCCGATTCCCTAAAAACTGTGCATGCTGAATTTCCCTTGGAAAGAGTTCATGTTCCTGAGTTGGAAGACCTGAGTTGTAGTTCAAAAGCCTTATCTTTCAAGACCACATTCCCTGCTATGAATTGCTAAAGCTTCCCTTGGAGCTAAAGCCAAGATTTTGACTCCGAGTCCGGCATTTGGCTCTGCCAGCCTCCTCAAGGTGGTAAGCCTTGAATGGTTCAGCCTTATGGTCTGATTTTAATGTGGGGAGGGCTTAGGTATGCCAAAGATCTCCCTTTTGAGCAAGCATCCTAGTGATTCTGCTACAGGCAGGAGAGGTCGGTGCTGCCCAGTACTGCAAGGGAAAGAATTGATGGAGAAAGGGACAAAGAAGACAATGTTGTTAGGAGACAGTTTGGCAGCATGGTAGGAACAGAAGACAGCCTGAGCCACTTAGAGATTGATCTGGAAATGAGAGATGGAGCCAGAGAGCAGAGACGTTTAGGACGCTCAGCTGAGGAAAAAGATGGGCAGATGGCAAGAGGTGGGCCTCAGAGCTGAAGAGGGTTTGTTTCCAGAAAAAGAGAAACTTGAGAATATTTATGGAATAAAGAGAAAAAATCAGGAAGGGGATGTATAGAGAGAAGGAACTGAGGGGTCCCGAGAAGCTGTGAGGTAACAAAATGGAGAGCCAGGGGAGGGGGGGTCGGCCTTGAATCGTGGGAGGACACTGCTTCCTCTGAGCGGCAGGGAAGCAGCAGCAGCTCGGGAGAGTTTTGGGGGATGTGGGACTGTTTGTGGAGCTCAGATCATGTGACCTCTCTTTCTCTGGAGGTCTGGTGGCAGAATGAGAGGTAAGCAGTTGAGAAGGAGGGGAGGAGAAGAGTGGGGCCTCAGGACACCAGAGAGGGCTAGAGAACCAGCTGTGGAGAATGGCATCCGGAGTCAGACAAGCCTATAGGCTTGGGGTGGGGGCAGCCGGGCTGAGTTGCTTGGATCTGTAGGACCCTTTCGTACTTCCAGCTGGAGAATGGCAGTGAGGCCCGCGCAGCTGGGGGCTGTCCTGCGTCGAAGAAGTGAGAAAGGTGGGGCAAGTTCCAGAAAAGAGAGGGTCAGCTGTGAAGTCCAAGGTCCTCACGTTCAGGGAGCAAAGTAAGACTTGGGCAGAAGGTGGGCTTTGAAGCAAGTGGCCACCCAGCAGAGAGGTCAAGAAGATGGTGCTGAGCAGGTCAAACAGGACTGAGAGGGAAAAAGGAGGGGATGGAGCAGGTTTGAGCCATGAAGCTATCTAAACTGTCCTGCACGATCTAATACAGTAGCCCCTAGCCTCCTGGGGCCTTATGTATTTGGTTAGTCCAAATCCATTTGTGCTCTAAGTGTAAAATATACGCACGATTCCAAAGAATTAACAGGAAAAAAAAATAACATAAATATCTCATTAATAAATGTTTACACTGATTATTTATTTAAATAATATTTGGATCTATTGGGTTAAATAAAATATATTATTAAAAGTAATTTCACCTGTTTATTATTACTTTTGTAATGAAGCTTCTAGAAAACTTTAAATTACATATGTGGCTTGCGTTACATGTCTGTCTATTGCACAGAACCGCTCTAGAGAGTCCCTTACTGGGACATGGATTGTCTTTGCACAGAGAGGCCTCAGGGAATGGTGTGCGTGTGCGTGTGCGAGCTGATGAATAGACGAATAAGTAAATTCATGAATGAGTGGATAAATGAGGATCGTATATGTTTCTCAAGGACTTGGTAATCTCCTCTCAGTTGTGGAGGATTATAGATTAGTACACCACTGGATGAAAGGGAAACAGAGATAGTTAGAATTGAGGAAAGCTCACCAAGGCTTTGAGGGAGGGAGTCTCTAAGAGCCTTTTAGGGGATCTTACTTGATATAAAGGCTCAAGAACCTGGACCCTTGCCACACTCCTCTTTTCTTTTTTTTCTTTTTTTCTTTTTTTTTTTTTAAGATTTTATTTATTTATTCATGAGAGACAGAGAGAGAGAGAGAGAGAGAGAGAGAGAGGGAGGCAGAGGGAGAAGTAGGCTCCCAAAGGAGCAGGGAGCCTGATGCGGGACTCGATCCCAGGACCCTGGGATCATGACCTGAGCCGAAGGCAGACGCTTAACCACCTGAGCCACCCAGGCGCCCTCCTCTTTTCTTTTTTTTTCCTTTAAAAAAAAATATTCTCCTGTAGCACCATAATGCCAGGAACCGTCCTAGGTATTCTGCACGTATTAACTCATTTAGGCTTCGCATCACCCTAGGAGGTAGGCACTCTTACTCTCTCCCTTTTGCAGATAAGGAAACAAAGGCACAGAGACCTGAAGTAGTTTGGCCAGGATTACCCAGCAGGTGGTGGAACTGGTTTTAAGCCCCAGTGGCCATGCTCCCAGCTACTACACCATCCTGTCTCTCCCTCATCCTCTCCTCTCACCTCATCCCCCAGCTTCTCCCCAACAGAGATACAGTATTCCCCCCCCTTATCTACAGGGATCCGTTCCAAGACCCCTAGCAGCTGCCAGCAACTGCAGATAGTGCCAAACCCTCTATATACTATGTTTTTTCCTATACACACACACACCTATGATAAAGTTTAATTTACAAATTAGGCACAGTGAGAGAGTAACAACAATAACGAATAATAGAACAAATTTAACAATTTACTGTAATAAAGTCATGTGAATGTGGCCTCTCCTGCTCTCTCAAAGCGTCTTATTGTGCTGTACTCCCCCTCCTCGTCACGATGTGAGATGCTAACGTGCCTACGCGAAGAGATGAGGTGAGGGGAATGACGGCGGCGTTGTGACGTAGCGCGGGGCTAAGGCCGACTTTCCGAGGATTCGTCCGAGGCAAGACCGTCTGCTTCTGGACAACAGCTGACCACATAAAACCACAGATAAGGGGGGACTACTGCATAGATTTCTTTTTTCTCCCTTTACTGATCTCTCACTCCCAGTCCCTCAGGCCCTGTATTCCTCGAGAAAGTTCCCGATGTACTTTGCTTACTGAAAACAGTTGTAAGTAACCCCCCAACTTCCCCACAAGTAAGACTCAAACACACCACAGCTGCAGGGCCAGTACGACAGCCAAGTAACCCCGCCTCCTCTGTTCCCGCTATCCCCCTCCCTGAGCCCTTCCCGCACCATCTTCTCCACCCCCACCCCCCAGCCCAGCCCGTGAGTTTCCTGTCCCAAACCTGGGATTGGCCCTCCCCTGTCTTCCTGGACAGACTCGAGGGCAGTGAGTGTTGGAGGAGCCCGAGGCTTCATAACTCTAAGCAAACACTTCATCTGTCCGTCTAGCAGATACTGGCGAGAGAACTATAGGGGATAGAATGGGGGCTTTCCAGACACCACCTTGGCCGGTGCCCAGGAGATGCTTCAGTCCCACCCACCAGGGATTCCATTCCAGCCTCAGCTTGGATCCCTCCAATGACAGAGTCGCCCTGAATTTCCACCCACTGGGAGCAGCCCCAGCCCAGGATCTCCACTTTCAGGGCCAAACAGACTGGAACGCTAAGAAGGAACCAACAGGCCATCTTCCACTCTCTCATTAAATTGTTAATAATAATGCATTTACTTATTCTCCCACTTAAAAAGTTGTTTAAATCCTTTGAAGAATCTTGCAAGGTAGCTTGGCTAGACAGCAGGCAGGACAGTCCAGTGCCTCTGGTGGGGGGGCCAGCGTCTTCCACTCGCCTGCCTTTTGGTCCAACAAGTAGGCATTTGGGTTGATGGTGTAGTCCTTTGCCTGGACGTCGCTGGCTGCGGTGACACCCCCACATACAAACACTCTGTTCTCTCCAATGGAGCATATAGCATGGGACACATCTAAGGGGCAGTTGTTGGGCAAGAGAGGCACCGAGGTGGTCGTCTTGTTGGCCTTTATCTTCTGCAGGTTGATTTCCACACTCTGCCGGTGGCTGTGCACACAGAGGATGTTGTCTTGATGGAAAGAGAGCAGGGGCCGGTGGTTGAACTCAATGGGGAAGGTGATACACTGGACCACATCCCCAGTGTTGGTGTCAAAGCAGTCCACCACTCCAACCCGGGAAATATAGCCTTTCACCAAGCACCGCCCCGTGACAATGTACAGGTTCCGGTCACCCTTGGTGATCACGGCTGTGCCATCCATAGGGATGCTCATCTTCCCTGCCAGGCACCAGGCCTCCTTGCGCTCATCATAGCGATAGATGTTGGACACATACCGCCTTGGAGCAATGCTCCCACCCACTGAGTACACTGTCCCCCCGCAGGTCACCATGGTGTGGAAGACAAGCCCAATCGGCAGGTCTGGCAACTTGGTCCAGGAGTTGTCATCCATGTCATACCGCCAAGCCGTCTTCAGCCCGGAAATCTGCTCAGTGGTACCACCAGAGATGTAGATGTAGCGACCAGCAGAGGTGGCACTAAGTGCTGCCGCCCGATAGGGCATCTCTGACAGCTTCAGCCACAGGTTCTCCTGGATGATGTAGGCAAACACTCCATCATTGAACTTGCCATGGGCCTTTTGGCCACCCAGGATGACCACCGAATCAAGCAGGGCCCCTTTCCGCTGGTAGCTCAACAAGCTGGATGGCCTGTCCTGCTTGCGGTCCATGAGGACACTCTCAATCAGGGTTGCATGGGCTGAGCTGTTCTCCATGCCCATCAGCTTGTTGCTGGCAAACATCAGTGTCTTGTTGGAGACGGCATTAAGATTGATGTAGTTGAAGAACTTCTTGAAATACTTCTCCCGCTCATCCTTCCGGAAGTACACCCAATTGATGAGTGCGCTGAGAGCCTGGTCCTCATTGAGCACATGCAAGTTTTCATCTCGGAGCAGGCGGCCAAAGATGACAGGTGGACAGCGCATGAAGTGCATACAGCCCTCAGGACTGGCCCAGTAGTGGAAGTTGTCACGAATGCCAGAGTAGGCCAAGTCTGATACTTCTTTGAGCTCAAACAACTCAGCCAAGAAGAGGTAGCGCAAGCAGTTCGCACGGCGGATGGACTTAATCAGGAAGTCGTTACAGTGGATTCGAAGGCGTGGTGTGTTGAAATACTGGGCCCCGCGAAGGAGCTCCTCCACGTTCTGCTCTGAGATCACCACCTTGCCACTGTAGAAGTAGTCCAGGAGCTGGTCCACCGTGGCCGGACTCAGGTAGTTGGGGTCAATGGTGATAAAGAGCTCATCGGTGGTCTTCATGTCATTGCTGGAGATGAGGCTCTTCACCAGTGGGGAGACAGCAGCCAGCACGTTGCGATGTGCAAAGAAAACATGGTGGTCCACAGTCAGGGCCATGTCCCAGTACTCTTTGCGTTTCCTCTGTTTGTTCAGGTTCTGCAGCACAAAGCTGTTGTAGTTTTTCTCCGTGAATTCCAATTTCATGGTGCTTCTTGCTGGCTGAGGCAGAAGATCAGCAGCAGGTACTGGAGAACAGACGTTCTCAGGCCTTTGGGATTCAGAGTGATGGTTGTTTGCAGAGCAGTTGATCAGGGAGGAGGGGGGCTGGGAGAGAGGGTGATGTCATAGAATGGATGAGGTCATCACAATGCCAGCCCCTGAGGCCTTTCTCAGAGGCACAGGACCTTTCTCCCCTCTGATGGCTCCAACCTGCCAAGGCTAGATACCCTGCCAGGATTTAAAGCCCTGGGCCCAGAGCTCAGGAGAATCTCAGAGATGGGTTGCAGCTCTTACCCGGGGCTTTTAAAACTCAGTTCAAGGCTATTTTTGGAATGTCTGAGCCAGTCTGGGTGGGGGTGCTATGGGAAGGGAAAAGGGGAAGGTGGGGGAAGATAAGAGATTTTTGGATCTAGAAGGATCCTTCCATGTACAGGAGGGAAACAGGCCCAGAGAAGAGAAGGAACTTGCCCAAGATCACACAGCAGGTTGGAATCAGACCAGGGCCTGGAAGCCAAGCCTTCTATAACTCAGTACTCTTCATCTTTCCAGGAAGCTCCTAACTACCTAACTCTCCCCAGTCTCTGATTCTCAGGCCTCTAGGTACCTTTCTCTGCCAAGGCTCCTGGCCATCAGAGAAGAATTTCAGGCTCTGTCCCTTGCCTTCAGAATTTTGTAGCCATGGACGCCATTCTTCTTTTAAAATAGAGGGAGAGGTAGAGACCACTGGCTGGAGTAGGGATAGAGGAGTTAGCCACACACGGGGGACGGGAGGACCTCTGAAGCCCTGATGATTTCAGTTCCACAGCAAACTGGGACCTTCTGTCCACATTTTCAAGTCTGTGGTCATGCAACTTTGGGGGCTGTGGTGGGTCAGCTCTCTCCATCAAACGTCGACTTGGACAAGTGGCTCAGACTCTCTAAACCTCAGTTTCCTCATCTGTGACATGGGAGTAATAGTACCCGCTTTGAAGATTATTAAATGAGAAAATGATTAGAGCGCGTTAAGTAACAATGTTTGGCTTGTAGCAAAACGTTCAGTAAACGTTAGCTGCCGTTACTTTATTGATAATCATCTTAGTTCACCCAGCGCCGGTGTCCTTGGCTGCTCCCTTTGTACGTAAATACCTGTCGCCGTCTGGTTGGTGTTTGGTTGGGGCGGGGGGAGTCTGGAATCCCTCCGGAATCCCGCGCCCCGTTTGGGCGGGCTCCGCGAGCCTCGTCCGGCCACGCGGTGGAGCTGGAGGGCCATCTCGGGCTCGCAGGCCCCGGCGGCCGCGCCCCCTGCGCTCGCCCGCCGCGGCCCCTCCCCGCGGGGACAGCAGCGCCCCCCTCCCAGCCTCCCCGGCCCCCTGGCCGCGGGGCTCCCTCGCGCCCGGCCGCCTGCGGCGACTGGAATGCCCGTGGCAGGGCCTCCCACGTTCACCACAAAGCCGCCTGTGCCCGCTTTACAGGTGGGGTGCGGAGCCGGGCAGACAAGCCGTCTCTGACTCGGGGCGTCACCCCTGGGCCCCCTGCCGGGTGGGGTGCCCGCAGACTCCGCCGCCCCCGGGCGGGCGTGGGGTTCCCGGAGTGCCCGTGCCGAGGAAGGGCTAAGGGTCAGCCGGAGCCCCCACGGAGGGCGGACGGCTTCTGCCGAGAGTGGGAGAGCCCAGGGCACCCACCCCGGACCAGCCTTGGGGGGCTCCCGGCAAGGGGCTCAACTCGAAGGCCTTTGCGGCGATGGCCACATGGTACCGAGAGGACCTGGGCCCCCAGCGCCACCCCTGACCCTTAGGTGGTCCTTAGCGCCCCTGCAAGGAAGAGTGGCGCCTGGCGCTTGGGGAATGGGAGCGCGCCTGCCCTTTCCTTCCCTCGCTTAGTCAGGTGATCATTCAGCGTCTCTGTACCTCATTCTTCCATTTCCGACCTGGCTTTTTCTTTGGGGATTTGGCAACTTGAAAACGATTCAAAAGTACTTAACGTTTTTTGTTTTTGTTTTTGTTTTTTTAAAAGATTTTATTTATTTATTTGACAGAGAGAGACACAGCGAGAGAGGGAACACAAGCAGGGGGAGTGGGAGAGGGAGAAGCAGGCTTCCCGCTGAACAGGGAGCCCGATGTGGGGCTCAATTCCCGGACCCTGGGATCATGACCTGAGCCGAAGGCAGACCCCTAACGACTGAGCCACACTGCGCCCCAAAGTACTTACATTTTAATGCTGAATCTGTTCACCTTGATTCCTGAGTGGTATAGAGGCCCTCAGTCTCTTGATGGATATCTGCACAAAGCTAAGAACTTCTGTTTTCCCCGTGAAAAGGCTTAGATTTCAGCCTCTCCGCCAGACTAGCTGTGTGGTCTGGGTGGGTTCTTCTCTGTTTTCTCCATGTGAGATTAACTGAGCTCTTAAAGGCTTCGCCAGCCCTGATCTCGCGAGGGGTGGCAGCAATTTAGGCACAGGTGAGACCTCTTGGTGTTGATACCAGACACCTTTTCATTCCTATTGGCATCTAGGCCTGCCCTGGCGAGAGGCTGGCCGACCTCACCTTCTGGGGCATTCCAACCAAGAGTAGAGCATGGGTGGAGTCAGGCCTGTTGTTGCATCTGCCCCTTGGCTCCCACGACCTGGGGCACTTTGGTGGAGTAGGTGGCTGGGCCCCTTTGCTTTTGTTTCAAGAGCCAGACCACAAGGGCAGGAAGGTCTCTCCAGTTGAGAAAGTTGGGCATAGGGGGTGTCATGGACCTGAGAAGGTCCAGTAGACTCAACTCCATGTGCCAGGCTTTGTACAGCTGGACAGACTGCAGCCCAGAGCGGGGAAGGGCGCATAACTCTGAGAGCACGGGGCTAGAGCTTGGAGCTGGGGTCCCTGACTCCTTCCTTGGTTCTCTGGCTACAAAGGAGAGCTGGCAATCTGGCTTGTCCTCTGCTCTAATTGAACTGTGGGAGTTGCTGTCTTTAAGAAATCCATTGAAGAAGTAAAATTAGTGCCCACCTGCTCAGCCAGCTTTGTTGCCTGGCTTTTCTTCAGCCTAGAAAGCTCTTCTGGTCAGCTTTTATCTTTCTCCAGCCAACTGAGGAAACAGATGCCAGCCTCAAGAGCTTGGCTGCACGCCAGTGTCCACCCCCTGGTCGTGTATGTGTATTGTGTGCAAGGTCTCCCTAGGAGCCACCAGGAAGCCCACTGACTGGTCATTCAGTCCCTGTTGCTCACGGTGGCTGCCCAGGTGTGGCCTCAGCCCAGTCTTTATTCCACCCACCTTCCGCTCCCGGCCCAGCTCAGCATTTTTGGCTTAAGAAGACTCCCTCGGGGAGGGGACCCTCATATTCCAACCTTCTGGGGAACATCAGCTGACAGATCCTTTTGCTGGGAAGCCCTGAAGACGAGGGGTATGTTTTAATGGCGCACGGATTGGGCCCAGAGCTAGAAAGCTCGGGAGCGCCAGCTCTTTTGTTCCTCTAACACTGGCTTTCTCACTGCCACTTATTTGCAGCTGGCAAGCTGGCTTGCATATAGTGTTGGCTGGCCACGGCCCTAACTCAGACTCATGGCATCCTAATTTTTTTAGTTCCACTGGCAAATTCTCTGCTCATTTCTTAGCTCAAATTCCTGGTCCGTGGCCAGCCCAGGGATTGGCTGCCCTTGGATCACATGTCCACTTCGGTCCAGTCAGCCCTGTGAGGGTAGGTCACACGGATCAAAACGTAGCTGCCAAAGGGGCGCAAGGTACGGGGGAGAGGTTGGACGCACTGGGAAGCCTGAGTTACCTAAGACAGGAACTAAGAGTGATGATTACCTTAGTCACCACTTAAGAATCGGGCATGAATGACATGGAAGATGTTACACAAAAAAAGAAAATTTTATTGTCGTCTCAGTCACTATGCCTGGGTGAAGTGAAGGGCACAGCACGAGGCTGTGTTCACAGAGCAGCGCAGACCTTCGGGAAGCATGTTCCCTGACTGGCCTGCTCTGACTGTCCCTAAGGCGGCAGCCTCCTAACTCCCACCCCGGCCGTCTCAACGCTTGGAGAAGCCATGCTTTCAGGACACCCAGCTTGGCATCTGGGTCGGTTCCTCCCACGTGGACCACGTGAAATCGTTATTCAGGGGGACTTTGTAGGGTGTGAGGCAAAACAAAGAGCCAAACTGGCGAGTCTAAGCCCCCACATGGGCTCTCTCCCTGGAACACTTGGGCCTGTCACACACTCCAGGAGGGAGCAGGGCACAGCTGCAGCCACGGCTGCCGGAACAGGCCAGGGCTCCCGCCCTGTGTGCGAGGGCAGGGCAGAGGCTGGAGGGCTTCCTCTGGGGGCCCTGGTGAGCTCACACTCACCCCCACGCTCACTGACTTCATCGGTCGGATGCTTGGCCGAGAGCCCGGGCAGTGTGAGGGGCTTCCTCCCAGAACAGGCCCTGGGCCACCTAGCCAAGGGGGGGGAAGGGTGACTTTCAGACCCAGGCCCCAGAAACCAGGAGGCACATACCGAGCCCTGAGATGCCAGAGGATTTTAAGAAAAAAGGTGGGAGGGGGCCAAGGGCGGTGGTAGTAGTGGTAGTTTGCTATTTAAAGATAGAAAATGCAAGGAAGTGCAACTTTTCTCTCCATTTGTTCTTTGGCATTCCCATTAGAGAATTCCAGGAGGCATGCAGATGACATCATGTCTTACAACTGAGAAATCCCGATCATTTTGTGAAATGCAATTCCTGCCTGTCCCATGTTTCCAATGGAAGCTGCTTTATATTTACGTGTTTAAAGCTGTTTTATGTTCCATTTAGATGAGAGTTTAATAATCTTAAATATCTACCAAAAGTAGATTACAATGCATGAAGATCACATAAAATGAACTTCACCTCGAAGCATCACGAACGTTTAGAATAGAAAAAGACCAGGGATGGATATTATAAGAAATGTACAAAAGAAGTTTGCTTAAAAAAAAAGTTTTAAAATTGATTCTTTCCCCCCTACGTCCAAATAATTGTGGTCTAGGGAACCATCAGGGTAAAGTCTTCATAGGCTCATTCCTTTTGATAAGAATAAGTTCATGCAGAACTGTATATCCAAGTGCGTGTGCAAGAGACACTCACATGCATCACACACACAAGCACATACACCCACAGGGACAGACACACAGCTGAGTTTTTGTTGTTCTAGGCACTTCGTATCCATGTTAAGTCTGCCACATTCCCATTACATTTAATGAATTACTTCTTTGGAGGCAGGACATTTTCTTCGAAGAAGCCCTGGTTGACGACATTCCCTGCTGGGAAGTATCGGGCCACCACGAAGGAAGACCCGTCACTTGCAGATGCCTTCCCCACTCCCATCTTCTTTGTATTCTTCCACACCATGGCTGTGAAGTGTCCTGGAGGGGCAGAGGCAGGGGGAGAGGGAAACGGGTTAGTTAGCAGAATCCGGAGGAGGATGTTTCCAAGGATCCTCGAACCCCTGCGCCATCTTGTCAGGCTTGGGAAGCTTGAACCTCACATACACCAGTCAGAGGCAGGAGACATACAACATTCTGCCTGCCTGAGTTTCTGAGGCATCAGTTCCTCTCGATCAGCCACACAAGACCCTCCTCACCTCACTGTTTCCCGATGCCCAAAGGTTTCATGGTTTCCCAGAGATCACAATGAAGCCGAGTGACCCCAACAGTTAGGATGCCACCCCACCGGCACCTGCCTCCCGCCCCGCCCCGCCGACTGTATTCTTCAAGTTCACCCATGATCTCCATGTTTCTCCCCAAAGATCACTTTTTGTCTCTCCCTTACTTGACATCTCAGGAACATTTAATAGAGTTGACTCCTCCCCTTTTCGAAGTACCCCCTCTTTTGGTTTCCATGATGCTGCGCTCTCTTGGCATTCCCATCTTACTGCCTTTTCCTCCTCTTCCATTTTGCTGGTAAATGTTGGAGGGGCCTGCCCTTCCCAAAGCTCAGTCCTGGGCTTGCTTTTCTTCACTTGCTGTACTCTTTAGGCAATTTCATCTTTCCCTGGCTCCCAAATTTATTTTCCTAGCTCAGATCTCTCCTCTGTGCTCCAGATACAACTACTTACTTGACATTTCCACTTGGATGGCAACCAGGCATGTAACCTATCCAAACCTCACTCTTGATTTTGGTTCCCCCAGAGTTACTGCTCTTCCTACTTTCATTTCCATTAATGTTCCCTCTATGCACACAACCCTAAGGCTTGGTCTGTATTCCTCCTTCTCCCTCATTTCCCCCTCAACAAGCCATCATTCAATCCTGGAGACTCTAAGTCCAAAATAGATCTTGAGTCCATCCACTCCCCAAACGTGAGTTCCAACCACAAACTTTCTCACTCGGACCACTGTAATGGCCCTCGATCGGTTCGCCAGCGTCCACCTGTGCCTCCTTCAATTCACTTTCTCTAAAGGAACCAGAGTAATCATTTTTCGACATAAGTCATATCTGTTTCCTTTCCCACTTAAAAATCCTTCAATTGCTTCCAGTTGCACCTCAGATGAAAGGGAATGCTCTGGCCCAATGGCCTCCTTTCCATTCCTTGAACATGTCCGGTTACTTCCCACCATGGAACCCTTGCACGCATTGGCCACTGTGTGGAATGCACTCCTGATGACCAACATCCTCCTATCCCTTAGGCCTCAGGCTGAATGTCACCTGTGCAGAGAAGTCTTTCACAATCACTTATTTCCTGAACACCTCCCTCCCAAGATCATCTTATCATACCCTGTTTTACCCCTCAGAGCATTCTTACCATTTGCAAGGTTATGTGCGTTTGATTTCTTGTTCATTTTGCTTGGCTCCTTCACTAGGCTATGAGACTCACAGGGGCAGGAACCAAACTGTTTTGCTCACCAAACTATACTCAGTACCCTGGCACAGCCTGGCACAGGAAAAGTGTAAAATAAGACTTTGTTGCATGAATGAGTGGAATGAACGAGGGAATGAATGAAAAGGTATACGGAAGAACCACCTTGGACTTGGGTTCTACCCTCACTGCAAGTGCAGGCCTTCTACATTTTGCACTCTTTGAGACATTGACAAGTTAGAGCCTCCTTCAATTCCCTCTGCTCTGAGCCAAACAGTCCAGCTCCTTCTCAAGCTACTGCCTTGACCCTCCACACACTTCTGTGGTTTGCTGAGCTTCTCAGCATCAGTGTCCCACTGCTGAGGCTGCCCGCCCCTCACTCACTGCTTCTTTCAAACTTTTAATATAGCTTAGCTTCCAACTCCCCTTCCACTCGGGGATCAAAGAGTTGCTATAAAGTACTCTTTGCTCAATGACCATAAATTCTTCCGTCTCCAAGGAGTAGAGGGTGGAAGCTGATCCTTCCCACCTTTACTGTTAAGGACTTACAGAGATCCTTTGAAAGGCCAATATTGACTTCTGTAGCACAGAATGGCATTCATTTGCTCAAACAACACTGAAGAGATTATGTTTCCTCCTTGAGGGGTAGGGACCACACCTGTCTTATTTTATTTTTTTAAGATTTTATTTATTTACTTGAGAGAAAGTGAGAGCAAGAGAGAAAGCACAGAGGGAGAGGGAGAAGCAGACGTCCTACTGAGCAGACAAACCTGATTGCAGGGCTCGATATCAGGACCCCAAGATCAGGACCGGAGCTGAAGGCAGACGCTTAACCAAATGAGCCACCCAGGTGCCCCTGACACCTGTCTTACTGACCACAATATCCCCAGTGTTTAGCACTGAGCTTGGCACATAGGAGATGCTCAACAAATATCAGATGAAGAATGGAAGAGACAGAGGGAAGGAGGAAAACTGAATCAGAAGTGGCTAAGTATCCCATAGGGTAAGAAAGAAAGAGGGTAACCATTTTACACCCATTTGGGTGGATTTTTTTTTTTTTAAGAAGAAAATAATAAGTGTTGGTGAGGCTGTGCAGAAATTGGAACCCTTGTGCACTGCTGGTGGGAATGTGAAATGGTGTAGCCACTGTGGAAGACAGTATGGTGGTTCCTTAAAAAATGAAATATAGAATTACCATCTGATCCAGTAATTCCACTTCGAGGTATAAACCCAAAAGAACTGAAAGCAGGGACTCAGATATTTGCATACCAATGTTTTAGCAGCATTATTTACAATAGCCAAAAGGGGAAAAAAACCCAAATGTCCACCAATGGATGAATGGAGAAACAAAATGTTATATATAAACATACAATATTATACAGCCTTAAAAAGGATGAAATTCTGATACATTCTACCTTGAGGATGAACGTTGAGGACATTATGCTAAGGGAAATAAACCAGACACAAAAGGACAAATATTATATGACTCCACTTATATTAGATACCTAGAATCACCAAACTCATAGAGACAGAAAGTAGAATGGTGGTCACCAGAGCTTAGGGGTGGGGAGGGAGAGAGGGACAGATGGGGGTTATTGTTTAATGGGTTCAATTTGAGATGGCTGACAAGTTCTGGAGATGGATAGGGAAGTGGTTGTACAACAATGTGAATGTACTTAATCTCACTGAACTGTGTTCTTAAAATGATTAATTTTTTTAAAGATTTTATTTATTTATTCATGAGAGACAGAGAGAGAGGCAGAGGGAGAAGCAGGCTCCCCACAGAGCAGGGAGACGGATGCGGGACTCGTCCCTAAAAATGGTTAATTTTATGATAAATATGTTTTACCAGAAAATGAAAGAAGGAAGGAAGGCAGGCAGGCAGGCACCTGGGTGGCTCAGTGGTTAAGCGTCTGCCTTCGGCTCAGGTCATGATCCCAGGGTCCTGAGATCGAGCCCCGCATCGGGCTCCCTGCTCAGCTGGGAGTGAGCTTCTCCCTCTCCCTCTGCCCCTCCCCCCTGCTTGTGTGTGTGTGTGTGTGTGTGTGTGTGCGTGCGCGCGCGCTCTCTCTCTCTCTCTCTCTCTCTCACAATAAATAAAATCTTTAAAAAAGGATTGTGTGTATTTTGCCCTACAGATGAACTCCATTTTTATAATTTTTAGATTTAGGTAATACTTTATTTTGTTGTCTATATCCATAAAAGATTTTAGGTTACCAAATTGTTTATGAGAATAACAAACCATAAACAGTAATCAGGAGAACTGCTGTGATAAAATCAAAGCAAGAACTAAAGGAAAACAAACCCCACGTATAATTAGGCATCTTTTCCACTTATCCTTAAACTTGTATTAACCACTGCCCACTAAACTCTGACTTTCACCTCAAAATAGAAGAGAAACACTACTTGCCTATACCCCCTTGGTCCTCCTGCTTTTTGAGTCACAGCTCCAGGCTTTCCAGCAGCTTTGCAAGGTGTCGCCGCTTCCACAGGCTGTCTTTTCATTAAGGCTCAAGCCCTTTTCCACGCGAGCCTTTTCTCTCAAGAGAACCGGACACTTTGGCTATTGACCACCCACTCTCTCTGTTGCCCAGACAAGGAAGAACGGCCATTTATCCACTGGTTACCAAGAAAATGATCACAGACACAAGGTGCCCGTCAGCAGCTCGCATGCCTGTGGAAGCCTTTTCCAAACAGCTGAGGCTAAGTGATTTTCCCTCTGGCCGGGGAGGTTTCTGTCCAGAGATAATTAAGTATGGGTATTTAGAAACAAGTAAAAGGACACGACTTCCTTAGCAACCATCAGATACACAGTGGTTTCTAACTAAATCACTAACTCACACAAAACCTTTTTTTTCCCTAAAGGGATCACATCCTCCTTTCCTGCAGTCGACCCAAACTTGCTAGAATATACATTTGAAAAAACACATTAAATAAGTTACAGTATATCCTTGCAAGAGAATAATGATAATGTGCAACAGTAAGAAAGAATGACAAAGCTCTTTTTGTATTAACACGAAACAATCTCTAACAATCTGCTGGGTGAAGAAAGCAAGTGCAAAACAGATCATATACCAGGGTATAAATAAAGGGGAAAAGAGACCATATTTACCTAATGCTGGTATAAGATCAGACCAACTCTAGGATGACACACAAGAAATGGGTATCACTGGTTGGAAGGGAAAGTGCTAGAGCCCAGGAATGGAAGGACTTTTTACCTTACACAGTTTGCAGATTTCATATCATGTAAAAGTATTATTTACTCAGAATAAATGAACAAACCAACCTACTCATTATGTAACAAAGGGGGCGCCTGGGTGGCTCAGTTGTTTAAGCGACTGCCTTCGGCTCAGGTCATGATCCTGGAGTCCCGGGATGTAGACCCGCATAGGGCTCCCTGCTCAGCGGGGAGTCTGCTTCTCCCTCTGCCCCTCCGCCCTCTCGTGCTCTCTCTCTCAAATAAATAAATTAATTTAAAAAAAGAATGTAACAAAGTAACAGTTTCTCTTCGCTCAGCACGCAGCAGAGAACTGCGTCCTTCATCACAAGATGTGGACTCAGGGTGGGTGGGTGGGGATAGATACAGGATATTTCAAAGGCTCTTTCCCTACAACACCGACTCAGGTCAGGGAATCCCTACACAATGGTGTGGCAAGAAGCAGCTCTGGGGGAGCCTGAGGCATGGGAAGGGTCTTGCAAGCTCTGATTCTAACACCACCCAAAGCTGTCCTCCTGTCTTAAGCTCAGGCTCTGTCTGTCCACAGGCATTGCCCACTAGCACCTGGGACAGCCTAGGGGCTAGTTGCTCTGGGGTTTTCCTCTTTAGGGGTGGGAGATGTGGGGCAATGGGTTGGACAGGTGGTCAGTGATCACGGCAAGTCCCATCCCAGCTCTGACACTTGCAAGATTCCCACCTTGGAGCAGGAGCCATGGAAAAAGCATCGGATTGAGGATAGGAGATCTAAAAGAAGTCTCTTCCTCTTTCTGGGCTTCAGTTTCCTCCTCTGCAAAATGGGTAGAGTAAAGCCCCACCTACAACCGGTGTTGTGAGGCTTATGTGGCCGGGAATGCGGACACTTTACAACTGCCAAGTGGCAGGCACACATGAGCAATGCTAGTAACTTGCCCTGACATGTGTCCAGTTGCTCGGGAGCCTTGCTCATGGGAAAAGCAAATCCAGAGGCTGTGAAATAAAATGCCTTCTGGACACTGAACTTTATGAAAAGAAGACAGGTTCTGTGTCTTCATAGAACCTTAATCATTGGGCGGAGGCTGTTCCGGTTCCCTCCCTCACTTCTCGAATTTAACTGCCACAGAACCATCGATTCACACTTAGGGCGCTGAGAGCAGCTTCCTTGGCCCCGGCCTGGAGAGCTGGGAGGAGAAATGCCCCAGCAGATGCCACCACCTCTGCCCCACAGTCCTGCCCACACTGTTGCAAGAACCCCTGCCCAAGAGCGGTGAGCAGCAAACCACAGGAAACAGTGACTAGCTCCGAGAGCATGTCACTTCCTGCTTCGGACGAATCTTCCAGAGGGTGAGAGGCCATAGGGGCTCCACCCAGGGGTGGGATGGGGTAGGGTAGGGTAGGGTAGGGGGTGGGCAGGGAACCCCCTTTTCAGTTTTCCTGGCGCCTTCTGGTCAGAGAAACTCTCAGCCCCTTCTAACCCATCCTGGGCCGCGAGTAGATCTGAGTCGGTTCTGAGGAAAGACAGGCAGGTGCCAGGTGAGAGAAGTCGGCCGAGGGGCAGGAGGGAGCCCAGAACTCAGAGCGCCTGCCTGGGGCTTCAGTCAGCCAAGTGTTTACTGCTCACCCTGGAGGCCTCACAGAAAAGCCGGGTGGTCCCAGGGCTGCCGAGGCCTGCAGCTCTTGCCTGCCTCCACACACCGGCTCTCAGAATGTCCCCTAGAGGCTACTGCCTTGCCCCTCCCTCTCCCTCTGGGACAGGGAAGGACAGAGAGTCAATCCAAGGGCACACAACTAATAGTGCTGGAGCCGAGAGCAGCTCTAGGCTGTCTGCCCTCCAAGCTCATCTGAACCGCAAACTGGAGAAAAAAGGTGAAGGGGGAGGGGGAGGGGATGCCTGGGAGGTTGGAGGCGTGGGGAGCATGTAGGAAGGATGCAGGGTATTGGGGGGGGGCGTTAAGACTAGAAGGAGAGAGCGAGCAGTGTGGCCCTTTTCCTGAAGAGAGGGCTTTAGAATATTCTGGTTGCTGGGAGCAGGCTGGACTGGAGGGGAGTGAGACCGGCAAGAGGACGACCGGTTATAGGACCACTTCTGGGAGGAGCGCTCAGGAACTTTGTAAAACCCACAGCCTCCTTATGGCACACGCTAGTCACGTGGAGAACATGGAGCTGGTGGGGCAGGAATCCGGGGCTCACATGCTCTCGGACGGAGGGGGGGGTGTGTGTGTGTTGGGAAAAGTGATGGGGAAAGAGAGTATTGCCCTTTGGGAGAAGCTGAGCCAGAGAAATGTGGAAGAGGTAAAACAGGAGGGAAATGATCGATTTTCAGAGGGTTAGTGCCTTTCCAAACTCACACGCTCAATGGCAACCCTGCCCAGGCCCAGGCCACAGGGGTGACCCCCCACTCACCAGTCCCGGAGGTGAAGCCAGGCTGCTGGAAGTTGTAGTTCTTGATTTCACTGTACCATCGATCAGCCACCTCCTTTCCTGTATGGAAAAGACACTGTTTCAAACTCAGCAGCAAAATCAACCCACTCGCTACTCCTTCCATCTTCTCCCCTTAACCCCATATCACCCACCCCACAGTTAGACGTCTGATAAAGCACCAATGAGCTGAAACAGGGACTCCTGCCCATGAGTGTACCCAGGCTGAAAAGGGGGCCTTGCTGGGGATTGGGAAGAGCCTTGGCCTGGCGTTGGGGGACCTGCCATGCCACTAACTTACTGTATAATCCTGGGCAAGGCCTCCCCCCTCTCTGGGCCTCTGTACGAGGCTTGAATGCCATGTCCTCCAAGGGCTTCTAAAGATGCTCTGAGTTTTCGGGACACTCTGTCCTCACCCCACCCCAGGTGTGTGTCCTGAAATATCCACAGGAGGAAAGGCAATTGGGCTGGTGGGTCCTCATTCTAAGCATCTGCTGGTCCAGCCAGTGCTGGTAGGCGAAAACCCACAGCATTTCCCTGAGAACTGTTGATGTCAAGGCCACAGCAAGGAGCCTCCATCCCACGGCAGTAAGTCTCACTCCTAACTTTGATATACGTATGGATCAGCTGGGGTGCTTGTTAAAATGCAGATTCTGACTTCCTAGGTCAAAGTTGTCTGCACTGTTGTTGTGCAGGCTCTGAGTCTGCATTTCTCACAAGTTCCCAGATGCTGCTGCTCCCCTGCAGACCACACTTTGAGAAGCAAGGCCTCAGAGAACAGAAGCTACACACCGGCCTCACGGGGGGAGCACTGAAACGTGGCTGACACGCGGGGCCCACCACAGACTGCGTCAGTGTCTCTGGAGCAGAGGCCCAGGCATTGGTGTTTTCTAAAAGCGCTGCAAAAGATCCCAATGTGTAGCCAGGGTGGGGATAAAGACAGCCGGCGGAGACAGAGATGGGAAAACCGGGGCCACAGAGGGTAGCGACTTGCTCAGGGCTCCACAGGGGGCCAACGCAAGGCTGGGACCAATCACCTCCACTGCCTGCTCATCCTGTCCGTTCAGGGAGCCTTCTTCCCATCAGGGCCCATGGCCTGGCCTTGGAAAGGAGGCCGCAGGCTGCAGGCTGCAGGCTCCCACCTTCCTCAGGAGCATGCGCATACCTCTCCCGGAGGCCCGCGGCTCTGGGGAAACCGAGAGGATTGCAGGCCTCCCCAGGGAACTCCCAGGAATGTCAGGCCCTGGGTGGGGGGTGGGGGCAGGCATCCTCCTGCTGGGGTCTGGAGAAGGCTTCAGAGGGCAAAGTAGCTCTCTCCAGCACTTTCTCCTAAAAAGCCACGGCAGCCCTGTCAGAGCCAAGAAGCTCAAGAATGTTTGGTCAGTGTGGCAGGATCACCATTCCAGGCTGCGACCTTGGATGGAGGGATTGTCTTTCTCATTTTTTTTTTTTTCTAACGTGAAAAAAGCTCAACTGCATTTTTCTGAGGATAAAAGTGAATACACCAACACTTTAAAAAAGAAAGCAAAATGTGAAGAAAGTAAAACTGTGTCTGGGGATACTTGAGGGCCCACAGGGTCAGGCTGAAACTCTGCACGGAAAGGGCACAGAAATGATTTGCCTCCCCCGCCCCCATTCCTCAGCTGGGAGCTCTTCCGAAGGGGAGGGTCGGGCAGTCTGACTCATCTGTGTGTCCCTGGCACCCAGCACAGGCCTGGCCCTGAGCCAGCCATCTGAGACACTGTGGTGAGCTGCAGGCAGACCTGGGAGCACACACAGGGAGTTCTGGGGCCCCTTTCCCTTTCTGGGCCTGTGGCACCAAGGCTACGTGGAGGAGGGTGCTGGGGCCTGAATACTGGAGGTCCCAGGCCCAGCTCAGGCGGAGGAGAGGGAGGCCGAGAAAGCAACCTACCTGTCTGATCATAGGAGGCCCATGCCAGGTTCTCTCCACACTGGCCACGACTGGACTCCGGGCTGTGCTTGAGGATCCTTGTGCTGGCCAGGGCCTCTGAATACCTGCCAGAGTCCATGTGCCTCCTCAGAGCGGGCCAGCCCAGGGAAGCCCCAGAGTGTGAGTCCTAACCTAGTGTGGCTGAGCTTCCTTCCCTGCCCCAGGCTAGCTGTGCAAATCAGGAGCATCACGCCAGCCTCTCTTCTGCGTCCCACAACAGCCCCATTTTACAGAGGAGCAAACCGAGGCTCGGGGGAAAAGGACCTGCCTAGGTAAGTGGTACAAAGGTTATTCAAGCCTGGCTGTATCTGCCCCCCAAACCCAGGTCCTTCTGGCCGCCCCACTGCCCCTCCGTGACAGCGGCAACAGCGCCATGAAGGGCCGGAGTCACCCCGGGGCCCTGGGGGACTCACTGCTGAGCCTCCCGGTTGAGCTTCTTGCAGAGCTTCAGTGGGGGGACGCCATGCTGCTGCCGGTACTCGTTGTGGGCCTTCAGGACCTCATTATTAAACTGCTTGGAAGCTGCAATAATTTCAAAATGGAGAAGGTCTGAGTGCAGAGAAAAGACCCACCAAGAAAGTATGATGGCCGGCTTCAGAGTGGCGCTCAGCTCAACCCTCAGGCCACATGGACAGGCTGCCGCGCCCCTTCGGCACCCCGGCCAACCGAGCAGCCGTGACACCCTGCTCCACACCCCTGATGTCAGCCTCCCCGTCTCTGCACATCTGCACCTCATGGATCACGTGGGGCCCTGTGGACCACGTGGGGGATTTGGGCCTTTGTCCAGGGCAACGGGGAGGAGCTGAATGGGCACAAGGGGCTGAGATGAGGAGACGTGTGTTTCTGAAAGACTCTGCTGGCTGCTGAGCGGAGGCTGGGCCGCAGGTGCACAGAAGGTGCAGGGGATCGGGGGCGGGACAGGGAGACCGGAACGGCTGGAAAAAAATGTGTGGAGACTGGATAACTCAGACTGGACCTGTGGGGTGTGGTGGGGGCTGGGAAGGGCTGGAGGTGGGAGCCCAGGGAGAACAGGCCCGGCTGTGGTGAGGGTGCCGGCGTCGTGCTGGGGAAACCCAAAGACTGGGACGGATAAAGAAGGGGACCAGGGGAGGACAGCACAGGGGAAGTGGAGTGAGGGGACAAGGCGGGAAAGGATGTGGTGGGGGGCGGGGGGCAGCTGGGCCCAGGGATGCAGTGAGGGAAAAGGTTGAGCCTGTGCCCAACTGGGTCATGACCTCCAAAGAACAAGCTCAAGGAGGCTGGAGGGAGGGAGAGAATAAGGGGTGGAGGCAAGGTCCACGGTGGACAGAAGTCACCCCAGTCTGGCTCTGGAATGGAACCCCCTCCATGCCACACCCTTCATCCGTCCCCCCAGCACTCGTCCGTCCCTCTCTTGGTTCATCCTCCTTCCAGCAGCAGCCAGCCACCCATCACCCCCCCATCAGCTCATCTGCCCTCTGAGCGCCGCCTCCACTCTGGCTCCTGGATTGTGCGAGAGCTCCAGAGACACATCCACCTTGTCCTGCCCTCGGGGAGCTCACACACAGAAGGGAGATGGCCTTGGGCACAGACACCGGCAGAGTGAGGGGGCCAAGGTGCAGGTGAGCATAGGTCAAGAGGAACTTGGAGAAAAGTAACCTACCATGGGCGGGGGGATCAGAAAGTTGCCCAGACAGGAGCCAGTGAGGCTGACTGGGAGGGCACTGAGCACCGGCCGTGGGACTCCGGGATCGGGTGGCTTATGAGTAAGAGCCACGGCGGCCCTTACACCAAGCTAGTCTCCTCTGGCAGGGGCCTGTCCCTGAGGCTTGGCCGTGGGCAGTGAGGGTGCAACGTGGAGGGTGAACAAAGCGCCACTCCTCCCCCGCCCCAGGTCATTCACCAGCTGCCTTTCCTCTCCTCTGCTCTTTTCATTCACCCCAGAGGCTGCGATGACCCCATAGGGAGTCTTCCCCCTCCCTCAGCCAGATTCCCCAGGTCTCCTGGAGCTTCGAATCAAATCCCACTGGGTCTCTGAGGAGATGCAGGAAGAGGAAGACCCAGGGCAGGGCCTACCCTCAGGGCTAAATGCGGCCCTTGAGAAGGGAGGTAACTGCAGGCCATGCCCGTGGTGGGTGGCAGTTGAGCCGGCCCAAGGGGGTTCCAATCACCTTAAGAGTTAGGCCTCTGGGGCCCAGCGGGGCAGTTCAGTGAGGTCTGGTCACAGCAGTGTGGGCAGGGGGAGGCGGGGCTGAACAGCAGGATTTGGGAGGTTGTGGCTGACAGGCAGACATGGGGGACACCATGAAGGAAGGGGTGATGGTAGCTGCTTTCTACCATCTTGTCACCAAGACAGAGGCGGAGCTGCAACCTGAACTCTTCAGGTCTTTGTGGTCAAGAGAGGGGCCAAACCCTTGTTTGTGTGAAAGATAAAGATTTCATGTTTATGGGAAGGAGGAGGAAGAGGGAAGGTACTGTTTACTGGGCAGTTTCAGATTTTCAGGATGGAAAAGTTCAGCAGATGTGTGGTAGAGCAATGTGAATGTACATACACTACTGAACTGCATACCCTGCAATGGTTATGATGGTAAATTTTATGTCCCGTGTTTTTTACCACAGTAATAAAAAAGATTTTGTGTTGAATATGTTAATGTGGTATTTGGGATAATGGAGTCACAGAGGTTCTTAAAGAATATCTCAGGGGCGCCTGAGTGGCTCAGTTGGTTAAGCGGCTGCCTTTGGCTTGGGTCATGATCCCAGGGTCCTGGGATTGAGTCCCATGTCGGGTTCCCTGCTCAGCAAGGAACCTGCTTCTCCCTCTCCCTCTGTCTCCCGGCTTGTGCTCTCACTCTCTCTGTGTCAAATAAATAAATAAAATATTAAAAAACAAAACAAAACAGAATATCTCAGGTGGAAGCCACAGCGACTAGTAGGAACCAGAGGGGTTCTAGTTGATGAAACGCAAAGGAGTCAGCAGGGTGGCTTGGCGGCTAGAACCCCACCAGCTCCTGGGCAAAGGCACTGCTTGCCCTGTAGGAGCCAGTGCCCAGCCGGAGTGCCTCGCCCAGCCTGGCCCCCACCTTGTCTGAGAGGTGGCGACCATCTGAAGTGTGTACACAAGTGATGACCAGGTGGAGAAGGGGCTGGAAATGGGTCTTTTTTTTTTTTTTCTACCAACTAAATACACAGTGAAGTTCAGTTGTTTCATTTTGCTTTTGACTTTTTTATAGATCTTTTTATTTGTCTTTATTCCCTTTTAAAGATTTTATTTATTTATTTGAGAGAGAGAGAGAGAATGAGAGATAAGAGAGCACGAGAGGGAAGAGGGTCAGAGGGAGAAGCAGACTCCCCGCTGAGCAGGGAGCCCGATGCGGGACTCGATCCCGGGACTCCAGGATCACGACCCGAGCCGAAGGCAGTCGCCCAACCAACTGAGCCACCCAGGCGCCCTGGAAATGGGTCTTATAAGGAATGGTGGCAAGTACTGGGTCTGTTCATCCTGGAGCTCAGACTTTGGAAGACACAGAGGAGACCTCTGATGAATTCTGGGGCTCCAGAGGGCAAAGTCAGGGCCAGTGGGTGGAAAGGGCAGGACGATAGATTTTAGCTCAGCCTAAGAAAGAACTTTCAATCAAAGCTTTCCAAAAAATGGAAGAGTGACCTCACAAGGTAATGAGCTCTCCAGCACTGGGGGAGTACAAACAAGTGACTCCTCTCAAAAGGATTCAGGCATTGGAGGCCAATCAGATGACCTTCAAGTCCCTTCAATCCTGAGATCCCATAAGGTCCCATCAGGGTGGGGTGAGAGGAGACAAGTGAATGGCTACCCTCAGGCTTCCAAGGAGTTCAGAGCTTCTCTAAGGAGATGGAGTGATGACAAGCGTATGTGTCTGTGCAGGGCCAGGTGTGGGTGCACATGGTCAAGGTGGCAGCGGGTCCCCATCTGAGGGACAGGCTTGGCGAGGCCCACACTAATGTCCCTGCCAGCTCCCACGTCCCTGGCAGGCCACAATGGGACACCACAGGAGGTGCATGGGACTGAGTGGTGCAGGCAATGGGGACCACCAATGTACCGGGGAAGGCTCCCTGGAGGAGGCAGGGAGGAGGCAAAGGGGGCACAGAAAGAGCCAGGGCAGACCAGGGAGCTGGTGGATCCGGGGCTATGGGGAGGAGGGGGAGATCCAGGGAGCAGGTGGGTAGCTAAGGTGAAGCCAGTTTAAAGGCAGCTCTGAGTGCCGGGCTCAGGTCGCATTGGACCCAGTAGCTTTATGGGTCCTGCAGTCTTTTTGGCAGAGAGGGACATATAAGGCTGCTAAAAACTAGGTCACTGCACTCCCAGAATGTGGGAAGTAAAAAGAAACAAAAGTGAAAGTTCCTGTGCCCAATCTAAGCTTGGTGCCCAGAAGCCAGTGCTGGTTACTGTTGCCAGCGGGGCCAGTGTGCTGGGCCAGGGTTTCTAGGAAGGGGTCAGGAAGACTTTTTGATAGGGGAGCCTTCTCTCCCTACCCCCAGCCACACTTCTGAGGTGGACAGGGCCTCAGCCTCCGGAGTGGGGGTGGGGGGGCAAGATATCACTTGTGAACACACCCAGCAAAAGGCACACTTTATTCTGCAGAAAAACTCTAGAACACAGATAAACATAAAGATTAAAAGTCAAAGAAAACCCACCCATCGCCACATTAGGCAGGGAGAGCCCTCACAGCCACCCCACAAGGGGGGAGGGTAGGAATGATATCCTTATTTTGTAGGAGGGTAAACTGAAGCTCAGAAAACGACAGGTTCAGGGTGCCAGCCCAGAAGGAAAGAGGTCCTTTCTTCTGCTGACCAACCATTTCTAGGTGCCAGGCCTGCACATGATCTTATTTGCTTATTGCCACCTTTTGTGCGAGGCCCCACTACTGTACCTTTTTTTTTTTTTTTTTATAAGGAAATGGAGGCTCCAGAAGGGAAGTAACCTGCCCAAGTTCCCACAAATGGTCCAGGGGTAGTAGACCCACGAAGAGGGAAACCCTGTCCTTAACCCCGTACTACCCCCAAGGCCCAGGACACAGAGAAAAGCACACAGAAGAGACAGTGGGGTCACCAGATCCAGGAGGAGGATCAAGTCCAGTGCGGTTGGGCCTGCCGGTCTGAGGAGGAGGAAGGAAGAGGAGAAAAGAACTTTCTCAAAAGCCTCCTCTGTGCCAAGCCCTTTATGGACAGACCTGTCTGAGGGGCCCCAGATGAAAATCAGGGGCTGCCGGGGACAGTTGTGGGGCTTAAGGTCAGAGCCACTGGAAGGTGGGAGGAGCTGTCTCGGCCTGGCTCCCTGTGGCTGAGGGACAGAGTCAGGGTGGGGCTGTCTCCACCACAGGAGGGGGCGCTGAACTAGGATGGGGGCTCTTGAAGGTCCTCTGGGGCCCAGGCTTCTAACTGCCAGATAAAAACTCAGGCCCTGCCCCTCCTCCCTCTGGCTGTTGGCTGGGACAGACTCCCCCCTCAGCGTTGGTCCTCTTCTGAGGCCTCCCTGGGACCAGCATGACTCATTTCTCTGCCCTCTCCAA